AATATTTTCTTGTGACTAAGATATGCTCCCTCATTCCTTCTCCACCCTGCTTGCAAATTTAACACCAAAAGTATGATAATCATCAAGTTTTCAAGGTTTGACGTGGATTCTTGGACCCCTTACTTGATTCAAGGCTTCTAGAATTCTATTCAAGTGCTGTTATATGTCGATTGTGGATGCTCAATAGCTTAGTTTTATGGATATGTTTTCTGACACTAATTCCTTGTTAGGTCTTCCGATGTGTTTCTGCTACTTGCGGCCACTTCTAGCATCCCCACTATGTAGCAAAATTGCTCCATTGCAGATACGAGGTTAGAAAAACTTACGGTAAGGATTGTTGCAGGAGAAAGTTTCACGTGTCCTGTACATAGATGCTGCATTTACTTTCAAATAGGACAAAAAAGGATCATGATCTGCAAATTGATATATGCAGATGACGCCCCAAGTCTTACCATAGAAAATGCTTGCCAAAATATGTTATACTAAACTTTTAGATTCTTATTGCTTTTTATTCTCGTTGTAAATTGATCTATGATGCTTCATATGCTTGTTTCAAGGGATATTGTTTTCAAAGATTCAGATGAAGAGGCAATAACAAAGGCATGGGAGTAACTACTACCCAATCGCATAGTAGTTTATTGTTTGTGAGTACTACTTCAGTGGATAAGCTTCTACAAGCATTTTGTCATCATCTACTAAAGAGTTGTCTTTAACTTTGCCAGAAAGCATTATATTGATGAAGAGATTGGGACAATTCAATGATGGATAAACGTTCGAAGAAGCTTAGCTACTAAAGTAGTACTCACGAACATAAATTAATATGCAATTGGCTAGAAATTCCTCCCATGCCCTTGTTATTGCATGTTCATTTACAATCTTCGAAAAAATATCCCTTGAAACAAGCATGTGAAGCATCATAGATCAATTTACAACACTACTGAAGCAAATTCTAATCTAAAAGTTCTGTAGTGTTACTTTGACGAGTATTTCAATGGTAAGACTTGGTGCATCATCTCGATACAGCGATTTTGCAAATCATGTTCTTTCTTGTTTTCAATTTGATTGCAAGCGCAACATTTATGTATAGAAAATATACCCAAATTCCATAAGGATTGCAAATATATGAAGACAATAAGACGTGGCAATGTCACAATATCCCAATCCAAAAGTAGTCAAGATAAGAACAAAGAAAACCTAAAAGAAAGATTTTTCATCTCCTTGTTTGGGAAGCTATGAAGCATGATGGGTGGGGATTGAGAAATCAGGGATGAGATCTCTGTGAGCCCCACTCATTCATCTTGTTCTTCACCAAATGATGGAGAAAACCTATAGAATTAGAGTTTTTTTTAACTGTCCTACTCTAATTCTCACACCTCTTTTAGATTTTTACTCTGTATGTTTGCAAAGTATAGGAATCGAATCCCACACCCAAAATTAAATGCCCTCACCCTACTCAATTATCTTATCACTGGGCTATGTGCCACAGTTAGTTTATAAAATTGGAGTTGAGCAACTCGGTTTGCCAATCATTTTGAAGATGGCTGCAACGAATGACTTGAAGGTCTATAATTTGCAGAGTGAAAGGCAAGAAAGTTGGTTTCGCGGGAAGTCAATAATTCGAAAAAAAAAAATTCCTGACATTGATCTTTTACGTTGTTTAGAAAATTGAGTTAATGGAGAATATTTTGATTACCAACAAAAATGCCCGGCATAGGTTTTACCGATAATGAAAATTATTTTCATTATTTTCTAAGAGATTGTAATCGAAATTTGAAACATTTCTGATATTGATCGGTCTTTCCTAAATAGACTAAAATCTTCGAGCAATTTATCCTCTATATGGTATTTAATGTTCTTTTACTCTTTTTATTTTCTCTCTTTTTCCAGTATAATAAAATCAAGAAAATCTCAACGGTAACTTCCACCCCGCGTGAGGTGAACGCGCTTTGGCTTCCTTCATATATTCAAAGAAGCAGAAGAAGACCAGGCGCAAACTTCCTATCCAAGAAACAGAACCAAAGGCTTCGTCTCCTTCGACATCTCTCTCTCTCTCTTTCTCGATCGATCGATCGATCGATCATCGCTTCGGTTCTTCTCGATCGCCACCGCAGCCGACGATCTTCGTGACTTCGATTCGAGGGGCGATCGTCGCTTGGCGGGTTTCCTCAGGTTTGCTTTGCTTTGCTTTGCTTCTCTCTTCTCGACGCCCTCTCTCCGTAGCAGTTTCTAGCCCAAGTATATAGCCATGAAGTTCCCGTTAGGGTTTCCTCTTCTTCTTTCGACGATGACGATCTCCCGCTGGCCTTGGGAGGGTTTTCTAGATGGTGGGTGTCCGCCGGTGACGACGACGATGGCCGTCGGGCCTGCGTTTGGTAGCCATTCGCCGGGATTGTCAGGTTTCGTAACCCCGAAGGAATCGGGGGGTTTTCTTCCGACTGAAAGGATCTGGGATTTGTTGCCTTGATTTGAGTTTTTGGACATTAGGTTTGATGACTGGAATTTTTGGTGAAGAGGCTCGGACAATGCGACATTCTTGTACGAATTTCCTTTAGTCTCTAGTTCGTGTTCTAGGTTTTCAGCTATTCTGCTTCTGGGTGAATTTGATTTGGTTGGAACCGAAAGAGATGGGGAATCATGATGGATCGAGATGGTTATGCATTATCTTATAGGTCGTGGATTGTTCTTTATTCTGTCCGTATTGTTGGTGCTAAGAGGAACTGGAACTCTTGGGATTGCTTGGCTACAGTGGGACCTTGGGTTTTCTGCAAGGGATCTTCTTGCAAGAACGAGTTCTGATACTTTGAGTTAACTTTGGATAGGTTATTCAGTTCGGTCATTGATTGTCCGTCTTTCTGTATAATAATAGCATGGATATTAAGACAGCAAGGACTACTGCGGGTTGGCCGCAAAAATCAGCTGCTCACTATAATCAGCTTCCGACAGCACCGACAAGCGGCAAAGTTTGCAGTTACTGGTTGGAAGGGAGGTGCAACCGGAATCCCTGCAGGTTTTTGCATGACGCATCTCTAACACGCAATGTTTACCATCGAGCTGCAAAGCAGTCGAGTTACATGCCTGAGGATTGCCATGGGAAGGGCCCTGAATCTAGCCTGGTGAATTCGGCGAGTTCAACTTCTAGAGAGAGAGGTGATTCGTCAAAAGATAAAAACCCTCATAAGCCCGGAGAAAAAGTGTGCCACTACTGGATGTCGGGCAACTGTGTGAAAGGCGATACATGTCCTTTCTTGCATTCATGGTATCACGGTGTTGATTTTTCCATGCTGGCTAAGCTCGACGGGCATAAAAAGGTACTCTTTTTAGATTAGTTTTTACCTTCTGTGTTCTCTCTTATATCCAAGACTATAGCCGTAGAAAATTTAGTAGCATCGCTTGTATTATGAAACTCCAATTTGTTCCCGTCCTGTACTAATTAAGATTTAGAAATATCATTGCCTGTCAGGCATAAAGGTAGGTCTGGACTCACCTGATGCTTTTTATGATAGGGTGTTTCTGGAATAGCACTTCCTTCTGGATCTACTAAGCTCTACTCCGGAAGCAAAGATGGAACAGCACGAATCTGGGACTGTCACACTGGTAAATGCAATCAAGTGATCAACCTTGGAGGAGAAGTTGGGTGTTTTACTTGTGAAGGTCCTTGGGTGTTTGTTGGCATGCCTAATGCTATTAAGGTGAGCGGTTGGCTGGTCTCCTTTGTCCTTCGTTATTATTTTTTTGGCAATTCTTGAATTAGTGAGCTGCTGAGCTTTTAATTTAGTGCTTTCTCTTGTATCTCTTGTAGGCATGGAATACCCAGAATGGTGCTTGCTACGATATCAGTGGACCAGTTGGACAGGTCCATGCTATGGAAGTTTCTAAGAACATGCTTTTTGCCGGAGCCCAGGTAATTCATTATTAGAAAGAATTTAATGTCAATTTAGGTGGTTTATCTGCTGGAATTTTGTCTAGTCTGTTTCTTTTGTATCTCGTTCCTCCGTGAATTAGCAGCATAAGTGATATAAAAGTTGAAGCTCAGTGTGAGGGTGGATTTTTGGTTTAGACCTGAAATTCTTCTCTTCTTCTTTAAGTGTGGCCCACCTAAGTCAACATTCATATGATCACGTACTGCCTCATTCTGTTGCTACTTGTGATGAATTATATTGGCTTTCAATGATTAAACTGAACAAACTTTGCTTCTAGGATGGCGCTATCTTGGTGTGGAAAGGAGATAGTGAAGCTGATCCTTTTCAGATGGCTGCACCTCTCTTGGGTCACACTCGGGGTGTGGTATCATTAACTATTGGGCGTGACCGGTTGTATTCAGGTTCCATCGACCGGACCATAAGGGTATGGTGGTTTGTCTTAGATGCTCTCACCCTGATTTTATCTAGTTGTGTGTGTTGGGAGGCATGACTTGGCCCTTGTAGTTTATGTTCTCTTTTGCATCACTTCTATTTGTTTGCTACGTCCTCTCTGTATTTTTGTGCCCCGCTCCACTGTAGTAATCGTCCTGACCCCTCACATCTTACTTTTTTTCTCCTCCGCAGGTGTGGGACTTGCACACACTGGAGTGTGTTCAGGAACTTGTTGGACACACTGATGTGGTGATGTCACTTATTTGCTGGGACGAGTACTTGATATCCTGTTCGTTGGATCAGACAGTTAAGGTCTGGGGGGTTCCCACTGAAGGAGGCAGCTTGGAAGTTGCCTATACACATCATGAGGACCATGTATGTTGCTCACTAAATTTTTTTTTTTTTTGCACTTGTGTGGATTATGGTAATTTGTGGTTGATGATGGTACTATAGGAAAAAGGGTAGACAATAAGGGTGAAACTGTGTTTTCTTTTATTGACTTCATATGCGCCAAGTGGATGGACCTATTTTTCTATCTTAGATCTCAAAGATGCGTCTTATAGCTTTTCGGTTTTATTTCCTCAGCTAAAAATGACTATATGAATATTGTGGATTGAATCTTTGTAATAGAGCCATACTGTCAAGTACCTTCCATGTGCTTGCTCTATGTGGAGAAGACATAAAATTTCATCTTCAACCTGTCGGTGCTTTGTCAGTTCCTAGTCAAATGGAAGTGATGTTATATCATATGTTGATGTTGCAAATATCATTTTGTCCTGCACAGGGTATTCTTGCACTGTCAGGGTTGATGGATGCACGTGGTAAGCCGGTCCTTCTCTGTGCGTGCAATGACAACACTGTTCGCTTGTACGAGCTCCCATCGTAAGTTCAAATCATTTCTCTAATCGGTTTGACGTCCTTGTCTCTCACTGAAGACTGTTCTCTTCTTCTGCCTGGTTGACTTCGTGCATCGTACTCCAGGTTCACTGAAAGGGGCAAGATATTCTCAAGACGAGAAGTGAGGACTCTTCAGACGGCTCCCGGAGGCCTATTCTTCACAGGAGATGCTGCGGGGATGCTGACCGTTTGGAAATGGTTGGATTCTCCGAAGAGCTAAAAAGAGCAGCTTCCTCATTCGATGGAGTCATGCTAAGAAGAAGAAACAATCAAGCTATTGACATTGGAGTTCAAATTTTGCAAGCAAGACAATGTCATCTATGCCCCGATGCAACTGGGATTGTGATTTAGAGCAAGAAACGGGATGGCTGTAACTACTACTGTCTGCACCACAATCCCAATTTTTGGGCTCTATCGTTTTTGTATAGACATTATATTTTTGACAGCAACGGTTGGACTTGTAAATGATTCATCATTAGTAATCGATATGCCTTTTGCTATTCAACTTGGGCACTTGCAAATCCATCTGCTTTGTAGTAGACCATAGAAGTCGTCTAATGGAAACCCTTCTTCTTTTTGAGAGATTTTACAGTGGAATTGTGGTCATCATTTTCTCTGTACGATTGTTGAAGTCTTATTACTGAAAAAGCAAAATAAAATAGAAGCGCTAATAATAAATCATGAATGAACTTATGACACTCCATGTACTTTTAAACGCGGAATAAAAACTGATACATCAAAACTGATACACCGGACTTCATTAAAGCTTATGAAATTAATAATAAGCTCCATCTTCAAGAGGTATAATTCCAAACTAGGTCTGGGAGTCTCCCTATCCTGCCCAGTGAGCAATTATGAGAGTAGATAAGCTGTGCAAAGCGATTTCAAAGAAATGCAGAAATGTGAAAATTTTGTAGAATTTACATAAGGAAAATAACTAGGTAACATATATTAATAATGTACTTTCACGTATGTATTAGTATTATTTGGGGTTGTAACCCACCGGGGATAGAACAAACCAGACCAAAAATATATGAATTGGACCCAAGCGGCTTGAAAGTTTAAATTCAAAAATTTGCTAAACGTATGTATTGAAAAAAAAGAAAAAGGAAACAACTTTAATTATTAGCTTCTTCTTCACAAATTGAATTTTGTGTTAGTCTGGAGTATGTAGATTTCCTTATTTTAGCGTCGTATTGTTAATGTCATTTTCGTTCAATCTTTTGAATTGCTAAATTAAAACTCGAGATCTTCTCTTTTTGTCCACTACCTAAATTTCATTTGAGTTGTTGTATTTAAAATATCTATCGAACAACAAACTAATACATTAAGCCTTATTGAATTCTCTCTTATTTTGTTGAAGTAATTTCAAATTACGTGGAATTTACATCAATTTACATACACTTTTTAACTTTTACTGAATAGATATGCTTTAGAGGAATTTAGATATATTTAAATCAAGTGGATTTCAAGAGGACCTAAAATCGAATGAAATGTCAATATGCATGTTTCAAGTGAGTTAAAATCTTGAACTTCTTTTTTAGATTAATTATTGTTATTTAAATGTTTATAGTTTGAGAATATTCAATAAAAATTTCACAACATAAGCTATCCTTCAAATTACATTAATATTATTTTAAATTGTGTATTTATTCACATGTTAAAATATGTCATACTTCAAAAAATGCATCTTATTTATCCAACAAGATATACTTCTCCTTCTAACTAAATCTATAATTACTAAAATAAACTATGCATGACGATATACTTATATACCATATTGTCAGATTTAAAATTAATTAGAGATAAAAATCGAAAAAGATAAACCCCTTGAAAGGATAATGATGGTAATTTTCAAAATATCTTGTCTCTTTTTAATTTTTTTTTTCAAGTTTAAAAACAATGAGAGAAAAAAGTTGAAAGAGATAAATATGGGAGAATATATGTGAGATGCTTACTTTTTAACAGTTTTGTTATTTGAAGTTCAAACTCAATCACAGAAGAAAGTCAGGAAACAAATCAATAAACCAAAGTTTATTTGAAATTCAAACTCTTCCTCCTATTGCCTTCATGCAAATGGATGACTTCGGCACACAAATTGCTGTTTAGGGCTTACTTCTCATTTTTATAAATGTTACGAAATTCATAGTTTGGTCTTTTATTTAATATGAAGCACTTGGCACCTTTCAAAATAGAAAAATATTGACATTTGAAATTTTTATATGATTTTTTTTCGCTTAAATAATTGTTTTTATTTTCAAAATTTGAAGAATAACTCGCAATAAAAATAATCAGTAGCTTTTTTATATGCTTTGTGTTGCAAATCAACTAAAAAAATCATTTTTGAGTTTAATTGTCATAATATAAATATCATTTCAAGTCAAAAACCTATTGAAATTTGAGATAAATTTCCATGTTACAAAAGATTTTTTTTTTTTGGGTCAGACATGTTACAAAAGAGTTTAATCGTCAAAATATACAAGTGCCCCTTGACACTCATTAACAAATTTCCAATAGAAATCAATAATTCAAATACAAATCAATGATGAGTAAACAATACTTCAAAATTCTATTTGTGTCCCATTAATAGAAATGCAATTGCATATTCTTCATACTCACTCTGATGAAAACAGATTCACGTCGCATAGCCCGACTAATGTCAAATCCATTACATAAATAAAAGAAGAACAAGAAAAGGAAACTGCTCGACCATGAGCGCTTCAATAGAATGAGGCCACAACATGACATAGAAACTCCAGAAATTGGTCATCTTCATGTGTGGAAATCAGCTAGCAAGAAGAAACTGAGACATGGACTTCATTAGAGCTTATGAAATTTTGTCGAACATCATTTAATGTTAAATAACGCCGATGAAAAAAGTTATGAACTGACCATATGTAGCTTGAAAGTTTTAAAATGAAAGTTTTGCTATATGGATGTATCAAGAAAAAATTAAAAAAAGAAGGCGATTTTGAAAGTTATTAGCTTCTTCACAAATTTGATTTTGTTTTATTTTAGAGTATGTGGTAATTCCGTATTTTGGTGTCATATTCTTCAAATGTCACTTTTGTTCAATCTTTGAACGGCTAAGTTAAGTTAGAGATTATCTCTTCTTTATTAATTAAATCTTTGTACAGTTGATGCCATCTGCGATCATCATGAGATATTTCTTGTTCTCAACAATTAACACATACTCGTCAACACCAGTGATCACATATATCCGAAAGTTTTGACAAAAAAAAGGGTTAATATCACAAAAAATCCCAAACTAGTATATCTATGACAAATTTACCTCAAACTAATTTTTTTTATCACAAAAAGCTCCAAACTGGTATACCTTTAATAAATTTACCTTCCGTTGGTTTCTATTAAATTTTACCATCAAATTGCTAAGTTAGATGACACGTGACAGTTGACGGATGTACCAGTTTCGGGTTGTACTAAGGGTGAGCAAGATGGATCGCCCGAATTAGGAATTGCCCAGACCGGACTTGACGGGCCAGTTTGGTCCGATTATCGGGAGTATCGGTTTGATTTCTGATTTCAGGGTGGGAACCGGACCAAACCAAATATATATATTTTTAATTTTTTTTAATTTTTAAAAAGAATAGAAACCTTAATCTAATTAATCTGCCTTTCAAGTTTCCCCAATTCCATGACAAGGTGCTGTATTGCCCTCGGAAGATGGCTTTCATGACTTTTTGCTGATTACCCTCAAGTTTTGTTTTGGGTTGTCCTTTTGAACTCATGAAAGACGAGTTTGAGCTGTATCATCTGCACCGGGAGAGGACACCGTGTCTTCCAATACATCAGTAGTTTGACAAGTTAGTGTGGGCATTTTTGGCAGTCACTCGTTTTGGCAAATCTTTGCTTGGAGTTCTCATAGACTGGGATGAATGTGCGGTGAAGCCCACTTCTTGCTTCTTTGCAAGTAAATGTTCTTCTGATATTGTCATTCTCAGAAGGGGCATTTGTCATTCATGTGTGGACATCTATACATTTTTCACAATTGTACGAAGAAATTGAAACTAATTGAAGATCCTCACTGATTTTCAATTCATTCCAAAAAGTGATTGGTTCCATTGGAACTAGTCCGGTCCGGTCCCCGGTCCCAGAAACTGGGAACTGATCCTCCCGGTTCGGTTCCCGGTTCTTGGATGGGACCGGACCGGACAGACCCCTAGGTTTTACCTCTCCGTTTGTCATAGTGTACCAGTTTGCGATTCTTTCGCAGTATTAATCCAATTTAATGGAAACTAATGGAGAGTAAATTTGTCACAAATGTACAAGTTTGGGATTTTTGGTGGTCAAAAAATTAGTTTGGGGTAAATATATCACAGATATACCAGTTTTGGATTTTTCGTAATATTAACTCAAAAAAAAAAAACCTGTGTCATGATGTACCGCTTCATGCTAGTGATATTGTTCGGAGCCTTCACGATCGCGTTATTAATGGTTGTGAAGTTCCGGTCCAATCTTGGCCGACCATGGTGCCGACCAAGACCGAATTGCCCCCGCTTGTGGCAATGAATAAAAGAACAAGAAAGAGAAGTAAACCGGCCACTGTTAGGCTATTGAGTTTAGAAACTGAAAGAGTAACACGGAGCCATTTTCCTTCTTGTACCTAAAGGCTACACAAATCCCAAACAAAGAAATAAAGGAAACTGAAATCAGTACAAATATCAAATTGGTCCAAGAAGTAAGTCCCCATTTATCACAATATTGGGGTGAATTGATATTCGTAACTCTTGTAAGAGATGATCGATGTCACAAATATTATTTGATCAAAGTTGGAACGAACAAGAGAAATAAGAGTGTTCACTCCTTTTTTAGAGGCTAAACAAGTAAATAATCACAC